CTTGTTAATTATTCCAGTTTAGAACATGAGGGTGAGTAAATATTTTGTAAAATATTTTAAGACTTTTGAATGTCATATGCAACTCTGTGTATTTGAATGTCTGGTTATTGTTGCAGGTTTTTATTTGATAATAAGAGTCAGGAGCATGTGTACTACAGATGGAAACTTTACTCCATTCTACAGGTGAACGATCCACTGCCTTTCATGGCTAGTCATCTTTTTAAGTGGGATAACTTGCACAATTGGTGGCTGACTAAATACTTTTTTGCCCCACTGTAAGTAGTCTAAGCCAAATGATATTAAGGCTCAGAAATGTTTACTCTCTCAATTGTACTGTTTGAATATTATGAACATATTTAACTTTTATGAGAACCATTGCCATCCTGGTGTAGTCACCCACCATTCACTTTTGTGGTATGGAAAAGAGAAAAGTCAGCTTTCTGTTAAATGTGTCTCTTGTTAATTATTCCAGTTTAGAACATGAGGGTGAGTAAATATTTAGTAAAATATTTTAAGACTTTTGAATGTCATATGCAACTCTGTGTATTTGAATGTCTGGTTATTGTTGCAGGTTTTTATTTGATAATAAGAGTCAGGAGCATGTGTACTACAGATGGAAACTTTACTCCATTCTACAGGTGAACGATCCACTGCCTTTCATGGCTAGACACAGTCTTACTCTCAAAAATAAATGTAATTTTCACATCTATATGAAAACTGTTAAACATTTCTCTGTCTATGTCCTTCTTTCAGGGAGAGAGCCCAAATAAATGGAGAACATCACCTTTCAGAATGTTCCGGGGCGGCTCTCTGTGGAAGACACCTCTTCTTAACCCATATCTCCATGGTGATGAGGAACCAGAAGAGAGCTCCTTCCCTTCTCAAGAGGAAGAGCCAAAGAAAGGGCACCTGAAGGCAGAGTAAACATGTGTTCCTCTCCGACAGAAATAGAAGTTGTAGGATGTCGATTTCTTTGAAATGAAATGCACATAGGCCTGTGATGTTTGGGTGCCCACATATGTTTGGTTCTGTAATGTATGTGCATATTGACTGTGTTTGTTGTGTCTCAGGCACAGAGAGAGGTTGGAGGCCTTGCTAAGAGGGCTGACTCCTCGCAGGGATGAGATCGGTGATGCAATGCTATTCTGCCTGGAGAGAGCGGAGGCTGCTGAGGAGGTCGTCTCCTGCATCACTGAATCTCTGTCTATAGCACACACACCACTGCAGAAGAAGGTACATATACAATTACTGTTGTACAAAGTTGGAGTTCACAAATTACAGCTCGAGTTTGTAGCATAGCCCTTCTTTACACTTTTGGACGTTTTATCTTGTGTATCTTACAGATTGCCAGACTTTACCTAATATCTGATATCCTCTACAACTCCTGTGCCAAAGTTGCCAATGCGTCATATTACCGCAAATTGTGAGTCAGTTGTGCAACATTTTTATTTGATGTTTTTCTTGATTGTATTTGTGCTTTTTTTTTTAGTGTCTTTGAAAGTGTTTTCCAGTAATTTTTTTCAAACCTACAACAATGACATGATTATGATTGTTTTTATCCTGAAATTGTTTTTATTATATATAATAAAAATGTATTTTCTAAATGCATGTTATTGATCTTATCATGAAAAATTCATCCATGCGTGTTTCATTTTTTAAATGTTTTTGGACTTTGTAATTTTTAACCAAATCTGAATTATGTGGTGAAATGACACATTTCTCTCTGGTCAATAAGACCGGACTTCTCCAATCTCCGCCGCTTTCTTAAGATCTACTGCAAGCTCACATTCAGATCTGTCTCTATTCAATCAATAGCCATTAAATCGAACCAAGTCCTCACCCTACAATTTTTCTTTTTGATAGTCTGTTTCACTCAGATGTATGCCACAATACGGAAAAAGATCTGTCGCTACTGCAGTAAAATCGAAACTTCAGAAACTTTGATGTTGCCTCTGATGAACCCTGACGATTGTTCTATTTTGTCCTGCTGTGTAATAGTTTTGAGACAAAGCTGCCGCAGATATTTGGAGACATCAGTGAAGCGTATCGGAACATCCAGGCCCGACTCCAGGCAGAGCAGTTTAAGGTGGGAACAGTCTGTTCTAGCATGTCATATGTCTTGAGCTCCTCCCCTACAGAGATCTTTGATCCAACCCCCCCTCTAAAGTTCTCTCTTTCAATTCTCTATCTGCAGCAAAGAGTCATGGGATGTTTTCGTGCGTGGGAAGACTGGGCAGTTTATCCAGACTCCTTCCTGATCCAACTGCAGAATATATTCCTGGGGCTTATTAAACCTGGAGAGGAAGTCATTGACAGAGCAGAGGTGAGCTGTGGCAAATAGATAAAAGAAGAAAAAAAGCTGTTTTTGATCTGTAAAGTGTACTATATTCATTTACCTACCTGTTCTCTAGCCCAAATCTCCTGATCTAGATGGGGTGCCATTGGATGGTATTCCTCTAGAGAAAGGTGAAATTGATGGTACACCCATTGATGACCTTGATGGATCACCTATGACCTGGGATCCATCCTCTATAGATGGTGTACCGGTTGACGATATAGACGGTGTTCCCCTAGGAAACCCAATAGACGATATTGATGGTGTGCCATGTAGGTAGAAGGGCATTGAGGTCGTGGACGTTTATCTTTTTTATTTGTAGCCTATTTCCTAAACTGAACACAGTGAAAGTGTTAAAACACATACAATATGGATTTTGTTATATTGGTTTTATTTAAGTTACACATATTTCCTCTTTGTGCTTGTTTTTGTCTGATCCAGTTGATGAGGGCTCAGATAAGACTTTACCCACTGTTGCACTGTCTAAATGGGAGAAGGTGGAAGATTCAGAATCCTCAGGTACAATCACAACATGAGTAGTTATTCATGACTCTTTTACACCCTTTTTATTTACTGCTTTTCCCAGATTATCCAGTCTTTCTATATATAATACAGCATACTTAACAAATTCAGTAGTTACTCTTTACTTGGAGCACATGCTAGGGTTCTTTAGAGATATAATGTTCCAGAAAATCTGCTTAATCGGTTACCAAAGAAGCATGTCAAAATTATTGATTAAATAATTTTGTGATATTGAGGTCGTGGACGTTTATCTTTTTTATTTGTAGCCTATTTCCTAAACTGAACACAGTGAAAGTGTTAAAACACATACAATATGGATTTTGTTATATTGGTTTTATTTAAGTTACACATATTTCCTCTTTGTGCTTGTTTTTGTCTGATCCAGTTGATGAGGGCTCAGATAAGACTTTACCCACTGTTGCACTGTCTAAATGGGAGAAGGTGGAAGATTCAGAATCCTCAGGTACAATCACAACATGAGTAGTTATTCATGACTCTTTTACACCCTTTTTATTTACTGCTTTTCCCAGATTATCCAGTCTTTCTATATATAATACAGCATACTTAACACATTCAGTAGTTACTCTTTACTTGGAGCACATGCTAGGGTTCTTTAGAGATATAATGTTCCAGAAAATCTGCTTAATCGGTTACCAAAGAAGCATGTCAAAATTATTGATTAAATAATTTTGTGATTAAATGTTGTGTTGCAAAAATGAGTACACCTTCCTGAAAGTTACTAAAGAAAAAGAACATTCTAGTGTAAGTTTTACAGGTACATATGTTGAACCAAAGCTTTTTAAGAGAAGTCATTTCTTGACCATTAAAAGTGTTATATATAGACCACTTGGGAAAGAACTGTCGGGAGAGTTATTTCTTGACATGCATGGTTTTTGTCCACACTGGAACTGCCTACTGTAGCCAAAGCACAATAAACTCATTTAACCCTTTTTTTTTTTTTTTTTTTTTTTTTTGAGGCCCATATTTACAAAATATCGACTTCTGGGAATCCATACTCTGGTCTCATGAGACCAAGTCAATCATTTCAGATCTAACAGCATTCAAAATGTTCTGGTGTTGCTAGAGGAGGAGTACAGTGAGAAGAGCCTGGTCCCTACAGTGAAGTTCATTGATAGTAAAGCTCTTATATAGGGATGTATGAGTGCTGAAGGTGTGAGGGAGTTGGCCTTTATCAATCCTCATGATTTCACACACCACTGATTTTGATGTAATACAAAAACTTGAAACAAAAGATGCTAACCTCATTCCTCATTCCTTGCATTGTTGGTTATTTTTTTCAACATGACAATAATGATATGTATTCTCCAAAGGTGAAAATTTTCAACAACAACAAAAAAGTCTTCAGTAGACAAGTATTTCACCCAATCGTAACACTCTTGAGCAGCTGTGGGGGATTCTGTAGAGATGAGTTGAGCAACAGTCCAGGACCCAGGGCATTTAAGGAGGTCATCCTCCTGGAGTTAAACAGGACAGATGTGGCAATTTGTCATGATCTTGTATACTCCGTGCCAAGAAGGAAATATTTAGTACTAGAATACTCATTTCTGTAATACTTTATTTAAACAAAATTGGCTAATTTACTTCTTTTACAGATATTAATGACATACATTTCTCTGTTTTTAAGTATATGTTTATAAATTTCTATTTTGCCATCTTTCCATGAATTGTATTAGTGATTATTAAGAAAATACATCTTTTGTATGTATTCAGAGGGGGTGTGCTCATTTATGCTGTGCACTGTACATATTCCTTTCAACTGCTGCAAACTTTAAACTGTTCTTATCATCCTTTCAGCCAAGAATGACTCAGACACAGAGGTGAATTCAAGGTAAGACTGCTGGATGTTGTTCATTTTATTCATTGTTCTCTGCGATGAGCTGGCGATTTAGTTTTATCACATGGTACATGACTGGAGCATTTCAACAGCCTCATCAAATCACATGCTTTCTTTTACCATTTTCTTTATAAGGACTATCCACTAAACATTCTTTTAGTTTACTTTTGCATGTACGTTGGCAAAGTTTTTTGGTAAATCCAGGCTATAAGCATGAATTATGAACAGGAAATATAAAAAAATAGAAAGTACACCACTCTTTCAGTTTGGGAGACCTCATTGTTTCCTGTCATGTCTTTGGCATGCAGTGGCCTGAAGGAAAACGATGGTGACTCAGATATGAGCAGTGATGAAGCTGACAGCCCCAGCAGGTATGAGGGGGCGGAGTTTAAGAGTTCTCTGAGAAACTTTGAACTGTCTGAAAGCAAAAGGACACGCCTCCGAGAACTTGAGGTTAGTCAGTCACTCATATTTTATGTCTCGCTCTCCCTCCCACACACTCACAGACAGACATGGCACTAGAGCTAACTGTGTTGCCAGGTACTATAAAAGTGCGGTTATGTATATTGCAGGTGAAGGTGATGAATTTCCAGGATGAGTTGGAATCGAGTAAGAGACAGAGGAAGTCCAGTATGACTCTCCAACAGCAAGTTCAACACTACAGAAACAGACTGCTACAGAAGGTACTACACACAGCAACTCTCATAATCGAGAATTACACAATATGCAGATTGTGGCTGATTGGTCAATATGCATTCCAGTTGTGCTAAATTATACAAAACAACTGGTCACCACCAAGACATGTTTTTGGCTGGTAAATATTCTCATTTGACCTTTATATCAGCAAAGTGTATATGTATTGTTTATGCCTGCTGTCTGCATAAGCACAGAATTCTGCTAGAAAATGTTTAACTTCTGGTAAACTCACTTATTATTTATGTCTTTGTTTTTCTTTCTGTCACTGCTTCTTTAGGAGTTTGACAAGGACGACCAGGAAAAGAAAGACAAATATTCACAAAAACAGAAAGACCGGTCCAAAAAAGACGAGCGGAGAGATAAAGGGGAGGACAGGAGTAAAACAAGGGATAAAGAAAAAAGTAGAAAGAGTGAGGACCGAGAAAGGAGTAGAGGAAGGAGTCGAGACAAAGAAGAGAGGAGAGAGAGGTATGCACTCATCTCTCTCTCTCACACACACACACACACACACACACACAGAGTTTATTACATTCCATTATCATTCAAAAACAATTATTCACAATACCTTGACCCAGCACAATGCATCAAGTTTTCAGCGACAAGTAATTTTGTCCCCTTGGAATTATAAGGTTCTATCTGACATTTTTGTCAAAATTAAGTTATTCACATATTCTTATTCTGTGACAACTTGTATACATAATGTGATAGATTTTTTAATGTTGTGTAATTTTAGGCCTTTTTATTTAAAAAAACAAAAAGGTTCTATCTACACAGTCGAACTTTGAAGCTCAATATCTCAAAATTACTCGGAATGCAGATAGAACATTATAATACCAAGGGGACGATTTGTCTATTCACACTAAAATCAAACAACACTTACAGCCAATCAGAGCAGAGACTACCGTTCAAATGTTTGGGGTTGGTAAGATTTTTTTGAAATGTTTTTAAAAAACCCACATCCTCTCTTCAGGTCATTTTGACCTGAAACTGACTTTCAATTAAAAAAAAAAAATCAAGTGTTATAATATTATAGTATGTCATTTTGACCCGGGAGGGAAGGATTTGTTACACTTTACAATCTCTTATGCTCATCAAGGCTGCATTTGTTTGACCAAACATTCAAACATTAATATTGAGAAATATTACAATTTCAAATAACCGTTTTCTCTTGTTATACATTTAAAAATGTTGATGTCACGTGATCCTTCAGAAATCATTCTAATATGCTTATTAGAATGATAATTTTGCTCAGCATTATTAATGTTGAAAACGGTTATATTTTTGTGGAAACAGTGGTACTTTTTTCCCCCCGAATTATTTGATGAATAGAAAATTAAAAACAGCATTTCGTTAAAAGACATTATTAATGTCTTTTCCATCATTTTTGATCAATTTAATGAATCCTTGCTGAATAAAAGTATTGAAACCTTACTGCCTTCAGACTTTTGAACGGTGTTATGTTTGACGCCATATGTAGCTCCCCCCTTTTCAGCGTATATGAACGAACTATATAGTTTCACAGTCTTCCCAGTCTACTGACATTTATGACATCTGCTTCGAGCATTAAATTCAACAGCGATGCTATAGAGCTACCGCAAAAACTGAAGTTCAAGGACAAAATTCTAAACATGGCTGCATACTTGTTTCTCTAGCGCATTAGGTCTGTACAAGTGCGATGCTGGAGAGGTGAGATTTCACTGTTTGTGAGGTTACCCAGCACAGCGCTACAGAAAGAGAAACCAGTTGACCGTAGAAATATCCTGATGCTTGTGGTCACAGCTACTTGAATTATAATTGACTTGCTTGTCACTTTGTGTTGTTCTTGGTCATGTTACCATATTAAGTGTATGTGTGGATTTTACCACTCCTTTTATCACTCTTTGTCTTCCATGAAGAACAAGATCCCGATCACCACGCAAGTCAAAACGCTCTCGATCACCATCACCACAGCACAAATCCTGGAGGTCATCGTCCCGATCACCACATCGCTCGCACAAAAAGACCAAGAAGAGCAAACACTGAACTCTGACCCTTCGAACCCTGTGACCTCTGCAGTAATCTCGTAACAGTCTGATGGACTGCTTTCGTCATGCTCATCAATATGTTTTTATTCCACAGTTCTGGCTGATTTACAGCGGTTCATTTGTTTCCAGAGCTGCAATCACAACCCTGGGCTTGGCTGAGTTTTTCTAAGATGAAGTGTGAACTTGTACAGATCTTCTTTTTGTTTCGTAAACCATTTTATTTGTGTTTTCCTCTTGTTTTAAATCCTGTGTTTAAAAAATGCTGCAAGATTGACCCCTCCACCTCCAGACTTTACAATAAAAACAATTGTGGAAGGAAAAATGTGTCTTTAGAATATTATATAAGGAGTTAAAGGTTTTCACAAAAGCAGTTGTTAAACATTGTTGAATATTTAAATGCTTTACAGTAACTTCTAATTATTTAATTGGAATTATGTAATTATTTGTTCATAGGAGGCTTGGAATAAAACTGCTAAAACTTTGATTTGTAAGATCTTTTTCGAACTATTGAGGTTCTCGCTTGGAAGAAAACCGATTTTAAAATACTTAATTTTCTCTAAAACCACCCATTGATAATGCTGAGAATGCAACTAATACCTTATCAATCAACATCTCACAACAATTATATAAAAATATCGAGAAAAAATATAGTATAATCACAATACAACATATACTGTATGTATGAAATGCAATATACTAAAACACAGGCATGGATTCACAAGGAAAACATAATTATTGGGATTTGCTTTAAATATGTAAGAATCTCAGGTGTCTTGATTATAAAGCGTTGTGATTTAACAAGTGATTCTAATTCAGTTCTAATAAGACAAAAGATGGGATACCATATGAAAACGTTTGCTTATGAATTAAATTTTTAGAGATCGTTTTTCCTGTAGCACGGTCTTAGATGTTTTGCAGTTTATTGCTGCAGGACTAAGGCATGTTCACACAGGTGAGCAGGAACCCTGGACATCTTTCTTCTGGCCAGCAGAAAGGCCCCTTTAATGTTGAAGTTATTGGAACTGTGACCATAGTTGTGCATTACATATAAAATGTGATTATCACATGTAAACATATAAAGTGTCTAAAGAACGGTCCCACCAGTGCATGTGCATTCTGGTGATTTTACCATCTTTAAATACAGTATATCCTGAAAAGGGGACTTTTCATTTGAAATACAATTGGCTTATTATATTGCCATTGCTCTAAAAGAAAAACATTTAAAATTACATGGAAAATATGTCCTTTGCTCAGATATAGCAGTGAAAAATATTTTATTGCATACATGCAAAAACAAAACAACACACAGGGAAAATCTTTACATCATTTATTTTTTATTTTTGGAATCATACACATAAAAAATCAGGTTCAATTATTTTTACAACATAAAATAACACTGACGTTTCTTAAATTGAAATGAGTTCCGTTAGTGCTCATGTTGGAAATGTGAGATTTTGTGTTTTCCAGAAACATCGACTTTGGGGTTAAAGTGTGTGTGTTTGAAGGGCTGGCTACCTGTGCCTCCCATATCCATTCTGTCTCCATGCAGGCTTGCAGTTTCACTCAGTCATTAAAATGGCATCATTGCTCTATGCAAATTAAAGCCCTTTTTGAACATACAGTAACAATACCCCTTAAAATGATATCAAATTAAAAAGAAAGGAAGATAAAGAAAGAGGCGTATAGCTGTAATGAGGTTTGTCCCTGCTTCTCAACCGTCCCCACCTTCCAACTTCCTGGGTCCCTGTTCTCTGCATACAAGGCGGGGCTTATAATCTCCACCTCCCAGAGCACTCTCCAGCAGCTGATTGGTCAATGAATGGGGGCTCAGTTAGGTGTAAAGTGACACTGATTTTGTTTTAGCTCTGTCCAAAAGCTGAGAGGAGCTTTAAAATCAATTCTATATACTTGCTGGGTGTCATATTCAGCACAAGCACTCAGTATTTCTTAACATTGACAAAAACTTTAATGGCTCCAGTGAAATCCGCAGAGAGCAAAACTTCAGAGTGGTCTGTTTTCAGGGCCCCTGAGGAAAAGAAGAAGAATGGGTTACTTTTGTTTAGTGCACTTTTGTGATCTTCACAATGCTATTTCCAGTCAGTACCTGATGGGATGGTCTCAGAGTCGTCTGTGCTGTCACTCTTACAGTCCGAGTCTGGTTTCTCTGTCCCAGCCTCCTGAGGCACGATGAGATCCGGATGCGGAGCAAAAATGGCTGAAGTAACTACGGCATTATGGGCTACAAAGCAGAAAGCACATGTAATATAGGACCCTAAAAGTACATAGTCATTTTTGTTAGAACTTCACTATTGGGGGAAAAAAATGGAATTGTGATAAAAAAAAACAACAACACTCCCACTCCAGGTTTGATGTGCTTGTTTGTAGGGCCAAAAGAATGTGTGATGATACATCAATATGACTGTAAAATAATACTAATACCAATACTACTAATAATAATTAAATCAAATGAAAGAAATTACAAATTAACAAATAAATAAATATTACTATTATTAAGTTTTAAAGGGGTCATATGATGTGATTTCAATTTTTCCTTTCTCTTTGGAGTGTTACAAGCTTTTGGTGCACAAAGAAGATCTGTAAAGTTACAGAGACTAAAGTCTCAAATCCAAAGAGATATTCTTTATAAAAGTTAAGAGTCAGCCACACCTACCTAAAACGGCTCGTTCTAACACGCCCCCACATATCTACGTCACGATGTGGGAAGATTTGCTTAACGCCACCCAAATGTTCACGCAAAGAAAGAAGGCGTAACTTTTATTCTCGCTGTAGTATTGTTGTTGCCGCCGCCGCCATGTCGTGAAGGCGCTGTGTGCTTCGTTGTGAAAGTGAAACTACTTTGTTTGGCCTTCCAAAAGAGGACGATATCTGCTTCGTCATGCCTGGAGCTGATCCGTGCTGGTTGCTGAGGAAATACTACAACTTTGCGATGTGGATCGCCAGATTCAAGTCCAGCCCGGGGTCGTCACATGTGGTTGCCGCAAGCCCGCCGGACGCTCCTCCGTGCTGGTTGCTGAGGAAATACTACAACTTTGCGATGTGGATCGCCAGATTCAAGTCCAGCCCGGGGTCGTCACATGTGGTTACCGCAAACCTCCTTCGTCGAATCCACTAGCCGCGCCGTTCTCAGGCCCGCCGCCTCTGCTCACTCTAGCCCTCCGGCCGTTCCTCACTCTAGGCCGCCGCCGCTCACTCTAGCCCCCGGCTTCTGCTCACTCTAGGCCGCCACCGCTCACTCAAGGCCGCCGTGTGTGACGCTGTGTTACGTTGTGAAAGTGAAACTACTTTGTTTGGCTTTCCAAAAATGGACACGACTAGAAATCAGTGGTTAAGTTGTGTTTACAACACTGTTTCAGAACACTTCAACCCAAATATTCAGAAGTGTGTAACACATTTTATGGAGGACTGTTTACTGATCCTGGTAGAGTAGACTACAATGCCGGCTGTTCTGACTCACAGACTGTAAGTACGTCTTTTATATTTAAAGAGTTTTTATATTTTATATATTTAAAGCGAGTTTTTTTGGGCAGTGTAGAGTAGGGCTTGTAGTTTGTAATTTCTCCGATCACAAATGCAGACATGGTTTTATGTTTATGCGGCGCGATGCAACGCAACACGTAAAAAGACAGTATAAGTCATTATAATTCATAATTATGTCCCCACTGGATGCAACGAATGCCTCGTTTATAATGGGTTTTCATGTTTTTGAATCATCACAGTATGGTGAGGGGTGTAACATTTCCATCACACCCTTGAGGTATTCGGCCAATCATAACGCACTGGATAGCTGGCCAATCACAGCACACCTTGCTTTTTTAGAACGATGAGCTTTGTAAAAATCTACGCGTTTCAGAAAGTACAATGTACAGTATGTGGAAAATAATGTGTTTTTTGAACCTTAAACTGCATAAACACATTTCATTACACCAAATACACAAAATAATGTTCTTTTTAGCAGCATCATATGACCCCTTTAAATCATTCTATTGTTGAATATTGAAAGAAAGAAACTCGTACCGGTTTGGAACGACATGAGGGTGAGTAAATAATGACAACATTTTCATTTTTGGGTGAACTATCCCTTTAAAGCTTCTTTTTAGTTGACAACAGCTGGTTTATAGGTGTGTATCATTACAAGTTTATGAAGATGATTGATACGCGATGCGTCCCCAGATGCAAAATGCACCCAAATGCAAAGATGAATGAGTGTGGAACAGCATTTGCTCCAGACCATGTTGCACAGAGACGGAAAGCAATAGATCATTTGTAAAAGATGTGCTTTACCCTGCACATATATATTTAAATAAATTGCAGTCTTTCGATTTGATAAATCACACTAAGCCACATCACATTGACCTTTTGATTTGGACTAATCATGCAGCCCTAATGATCATGACCATGTTTTGAACATGGCGGCTGTACAACCTTCAGTCAGTCAAACATTCCAGAAATGTACTATTTGACAGACTGCCAAAACAAATAATTCCTGGAATGGTTTTATCTGTTTAACTGCCGCTGCTCTCAGTATTTAATTCATTTTTGTTCCATCATTACCTTTGATCCCTTCCCAGAAGTCATTGCGGTCTCTCCGTACAGAGGTGAATTTGCTCAGGTCGTGGTATGTGCTCCAGATGTACACATAGTTGTCCTCTGAGCCGCTCACAATGAAAGAGTAGTCGTGACTACAAGAACAAGACGAGATCCTTGAGATTCACTCATATTTTCCAACTTTCCGTAGAAGTGTAAGATCAGAGATGGACATATCTGGGCTGTCCCGTCTTTCAGACTTGCTCTTCTCACCTGAAGCTGGCTTTGATCTGACTGCTGCTGTTCACGTAGCCTTTGTACTTCATAGACAGAGACAAATCTCTGAGGTCATACAGGCGAATGCGAGAGTCGTTTGACGTCACCAAGATCTGCAGAGAAAAAGGAAGTTCGTTAGGAAGCATTAACTGAGTCTAAAAGATGCTGTCAAGTTTTATCACCTTGACATGAATAAAAACATTATTCATGGTATACTTCAGTAAATAAATAGGGGTTTAAGTCTATCTGCAGTCTTTTTCTATTTTCAGTCTATTTCCTCTTACCTTGTTCTCTCCTGGCAGCGGCTCAATACCGGTGATTTTGCGGCCCACACGATTCCTGCCTCTGGTGGAGCGGACATGGATTTGGGTGTGATATTTAAGGCGCTAAGTAGAGCATGATGAAAGAAGGAGTAAGTGATTAATAATAGAGTATTTAGGGTTGGATTTTCTAAATCACTGCTGTATATATTGTGTTTTTCAGAATCCCATTTCATTTCAAGTGACAATCGTTGCTCCCATCTAAATCTTACAAGAATAAACACTCACCTC